AGAGGCTCCCCCTGTCCAGGCAGAAGCTTAGCATTCGGATCCATAGGAGAGTCAATAGGTCTGTAACCCATCATTCCAATCTCCTCAAGAATGTCCAAGGCATACTTCCGCTGTGAAATAACAATACCTGAGCTAGACTGAGCAACCTCAATACCTAGAAAATACCTTAGACTGCCCAAATCTTTAGTTTGGAAGTGCTCAAAGAGATGTTTCTTCAGATTAGTAATACCATCCTGATCGTTGCCAGTAATAATAATATCATCAACATAAACCACCAGATAAATACACAGATTTGGAGCAGAATGCCGATAAAACACAGAGTGATCAGCCTCACTACGAGTCACGCCGAACTCCTGAATAATTGTGCTGAACTTACCAAACCAGGCTCGAGGGGACTGTTTCAAACCATATAATGACCTGCGCAATCTGCATACACAACCACTAAACTCCCCCTGAACAACAAAACCAGGTGGTTGCTCCATATAAACTTCCTCGTCAAGATCACCGTGGAGAAAAGCATTCTTAATGTCTAACTGATAAAGAGGCCAATGACGTACATCAGCTTTGGACAAAAAAAGACGAACAAATGCTACTTTAGTCACGGGAGAGAAAGTATCACTATAATCAAGCCCAAAAATCTGAGTATATCCTTTTGCAACAAGACGAGCCTTAAGCCGATCAACCTGGCCATCCGGGCCGACTTTGACTGCATAAACCCAACGACAACCAACAGTAGACTTACCTGCAGGAAGAGGAACAAGCTCCCAAGTGCCACTCGCATGTAAAGCAAACATCTCGTCAATCATAGCCTGTTGCCATCCAGGATGAGATAGTGCCTCACCTGTAGACTTAGGAATAGAAACAGTGGACAAAGAAGATATAAAAGCATAATGAGGTGACGACAGACGATGATAACTTAGACCAACATAGTGGGGATTAGGATTAAGTGTGGACCGTACACCTTTGGAGTGCAATTGGTTGACTAAAAGGAGACAAGTCCGCAGTAGGTGCAGAACCTGATGCAGGACGTGAATCACCTGGGCCTGATGCTGGATGTGGACAACGGTGATAAGTCAAGAGTGGCGGAGCTGCAGAAGGTTGAACTGGATTATGTGGAGGAACTGGACCTATAGGTGATGGAACTGGAGCTATAGATGGCGGAACGTGAGCTATAGATGGTGGAGCTGGAGATGTAGAGGAAGATGGATGGGAGATAGTGACTGAATCTCCAAAAGAAGAGATTGGTAGTACCTCAGAAATATCTAAGTGATTATCTGTACCTGTGAGGTATAATTGGGTTTCAAAAAAGGTAACATCAGTACCTGTGAGGTATAATTGGGTTTCAAAAAAGGTAACATCAGCAGACATAAGGTACCGCTGGAGGTCAGGAGAATAGCATCGATACCACTTTTGCGTTCTCGAGAAACCAAGAAATACGCACTTAAGAGCATGGGGAGCTAATTTATCTGTTCCTAGAGTAAGGTTATGGACAAAACAAGTGCTTCCAAAGACACGGGGTGAAAGAGAGAACAAAGGTAAGTGGGGAAACATGACAGAGAATGAAACTTGGTTCTGGATAGCTGAAGATGGCATATGATTAATAAGATAGCAAGATGTAAGAACTGCATCCCCCAAAAACGCAACGGAGCATGAGATTGTATGAGTAGGGTACGAGCAGTTTCAATAAGATGTCTATTCTTTCTTTCAGCTACCCCATTTTGTTGAGATGTGTACGGACAAGATGTTTGATGAATAATCCCATGAGATTTCATAAACTGCTGAAATGGGGAAGACAAATACTCTCGGGCATTATCACTACGAAATGTGCAAACAGAAACCCCAAATTGATTTTGAATTTTAGCGTGAAAGGTCTGGAAAATAGAAAAAAACTCAGATCGATTTTTTATCAAAAATATCCAGGTGCACCTAGAATAGTCATCAATGAAACTGACAAAGTAGCGGAATCCTAATGTAGAACTGACCCGACTAGGACCCCAAACATCTGAATGGACTACAGTAAAAGGTGACTCTGCTCGATTATCAATACGTCGAGGGAAATGAGAGCGAGTATACTTACCGAGCTGACATGACTCACACTTTAGAGCTGACAAGTGAGATAAACCAGGTACCATTTTCTGAAGTTTTGACAAACTGGGATGTCCCAACCGTTTATGATAAAGCTGGTGAATCAGTAACAGGACAAGTTGGTGATGGAAGACAAGATGCGAGTCCATGTGATTTAGCAAGGATAAGGTAATAAAGTCCATTTGATTCACGTCCGGTATCAATGATCCTCCCTGTACTGCGTTCCTGTATAAAAACATGATCATCAAGAAATAAAACGGCACATTTAAGTGATTTGGCTAGGCGACTAACAGCTATGAGATTAAAAGGACTATTAGGGACATAAAGAACTGAATCTAAAGGTAAGGAAGGAATTGGGCTTGCTTGACCTATTGCAGTTGCCATGGTTTGAGACCCATTGGCCATTGTGACTCTTGGAAGAGATTGAGAATACGAAATAGTAGTGAAAAGAGATTTGTTACCAGAAATATGATCCGATGCACCTGAATCAATGACCCAAGACTCAAAGGATGAAGATTGAGAGACACAAGTCACGCTATTACCTGTTTGAACAACGGAAGCTATCTCATAAGATGTTTGCTTACCTGCTTGGTACCGAAGAAACTCAAAATAATCCGCTAAAGAAACCATCCGACTATTCGAAGTATCGGTTCCCATGTCGCTACAATTAATAGTAGTAGGGTTAACTTGAAATAGTGAAAATTAGTAACTCCTTTGGGAAAACTGAAGAAATCGCTAAGAAAACATTGTTTCTGCACCGGAAACTTAATACTGTTCTGCGTGGAAAACACTGTTCATGCCAGAAATACTGTAGCAGCCGGAAAAAATTCAAAGTGGTCGGAATGAAATAAAAACAGTAGGGATAGGATCGGAATTACCAGACGACCCAACTGTTCTAAAGAAACTTTTTCAAACAATGGCCGACAGTCCACTTCTGAAATCATTGTTCACGTCGGAAAAATATAAAAGTGGTCGGAATTTGGTGTAACCTGGATGGATATGCTCGGAATTACAAGGGGAACAATCTGTCCTGAAGAGTCGTCGCCAAAAAATGGCCGCAAGGTGGCCCATGCGACGTCGGAACTTCGCCGGAAAAGTTTCTTCCGACAGCTACAGTACCGCCGGAGATTTTCACTGGGGTTTGGTCGCTGGACAGTGACTACTCTTGTGGTAGTGTTGGATTTTGCACAACACTGACCGAGACAAAAGCAGAAGCAAAACAACTTTGAAAAATCGCCGGAAAAAAGGGTTTCGGTGACTAATTTCATTTCCCGGAATCGCTGGAATTTATGCACAGCGATAAATCTCTCACGATAGCTCCGATACCATGTGAGAAGGCACGGGAAAAAATATGATATATTGATATTGTGTGTTCAATACAATACAAGAGGTCCTTATTTATAGCTATACTATACAAAGACATACAAAATCTGGAGGTGCCACGAAGTGTTCCTTTAAGCAAAGAAAGATATGAAGTTACTGACACCTAAAAGTGTAAAGAATGCAGTAGCATTCAGAAAGTCCATACCCTTGTTGAAATGTCATGAAAGTCCAAAGTAACTGAGAGCAAAAGTAAAAAAATTAATTAAGGCTCTTCAACTTTAGGCAAACAAGCAACTTCCCACAACTTTCTATTTCTTTTTTCCGTTTGGAAAAGCTAAATCCGTCTAACTTTAAAAATAAAGCATAAAACCAATGCTCACATATGGGTGTAAGTGAATTAATTGGAAATTGGGTTAAGATGAAAAAACGAAAATTAAGGCCCCCAACAACCATTTGGCAAGCTCATTATCCACCAAGTTGGATTGTGAATCCATGTCAGCAGATAAGAGATTAGGCAACATTAGAGAAAATGAGATCTTTTCGTTTGTCCATTTGTCAAAGTTCTTGCCTTCTTGGAAAAATTAAAGGGTGTTTTGCTCCATTTTAGGTGTTTTAAGGTGGATCTAGTTCAAAAGGAAAAAGGTGGACGGTTGTTGGGAAATGTTCAATTAGGCAGAATTAAAAGCACGCAAGTATTTCCCAGCAGATTGATAAAAAAGTTTAAGGCGTACCAATAGAGACAACATTAATACAAATGCCTTAAAATAGTATTTAACAAGATTTATAAATTTTTCAAATCATTGAACTCTCCACTGAGGCTTATCTTATATTTGCACATTATAAGGTAAAAGAATGGAAGCAATATCTCGAGATACGAAGAAATTGTTGTTCGACTAGACCCGCGTGGTTCCTTCAATCCAGCTATCTCCTCCAATATAAGATCATCCAATCTACAATAAAAAATCATGCCCCAGAAAGGTCCAGTCAAATTGCAATCTAAGCGCAAATATCTATTGTATTGCGTGAAAAAACTCATCTAAAAGATTAAATCATTAGAGTGGGGTTACTTTTATTTTTTTATTTTATATCTACATCACATTCCTCATGTGCGAATCTGATTCTTTTTCATAGGTCAAGCACATGAAAATAATGTGTTAGATTTGTAGCAATCACCCCTCAAGTATGAACTATGAAGGGGAGCCTTGACGTAACTGGTAAAGTTGTTGTCATGTGATTAGAAGGTCACGGGTTCGAGCCGTGGAAACAGCCTCTTGCAGAAATGCAGGGTAAGGCTGCGTACAATAGATCATTGTAGTTCGGTTCTTCCCTGAACCCTACGCATAGCGGGAGCTTAGTGCATCGGGTTGCCCTTTTTTACCCCTCAAGTATGAACTAATTCTTTTATTAGGTCAAGCACAAAATATTTTCTTGTGCATGATAGTAAATGCCGAATCAAGGCTCTACTATGTCAAATTGTGAGAAATGCCTGATCTAAAAGCTAAAATGCTAAAGGTGGGAACACTTTCAGCATTTATTTTATGTACGTGTGTGACAATACTGAAGCAATAAATTATTCTCAGAAGGTAGAAAACAAAGAGTCAAATGCTACTACTAAATTATGACTTCATATGTTGATTGGACTTAGTATGCAAAAGTTGATCAGTAAAAGCAACATTGCAGGCTTGGTGATAATATTTTTTTCAAGGACAGCATGATCATTGAGTAGAAGAATAAAATTAGAAGAGGGCATGTAACTGTGGGTTGCCTACGTATCCGGCCCCGAGAGACGAGAATAAGGTATGTGTAGTTCGGGAAAATTGGATATGGGAGAAAGCTTAAAAATGACACTAATTTGGAAAAAATATATTTTTTTTTATCTTTTTGAAAAATGATAGAAAATGTAAAATCTTTTTGAATTTTTCTTTCTCTTTTTTTTTTTTTGAATTTTTGGAAAATAATAGAAAAGTGTAAAATCTTTTTGGATTTTCTTTTTCTTTCTTTTTTTTGATTTTTTGAAAAATAATGGGAAAGTATAAAATCTTTTTGGATTTTTCATTTTCATTTTTTTTTTTTTGATTTTTTTTGAAAAGGTTGTGAAAGAAAAATATAACTAGGCCCTACCATCACAAAAGATTGCAGATTCATACCATCACAAATAACACATAAAGGTAAAAAGAAATAAAGTGAATAAAGGGTGAAAGATTGGACCTCAAGATGATTAAATCGTTGTCTTCAATGTTGCCATTCCAAAAGATTGGACCTCAAGATGATTAACCAACCTAGATTGAACACCAAACAAGGATGTGGAAAAGTAAAAATGGAAAACGGGGTATAACAAAAAGACAAATGCATTATGTAATCGTCAAGCAGTTTCAACATATTAGAACTTTCTTGTTCTAAAGACAGACTATTCCCAAGACTTGAACCATGGTGTTAATGTAACAATGGAGTAACATTATTGTTAACAAAAAGGTTCTCACATTTGCATGTAAAATTCAATGGCACTGTTGAGTGTTGAGTTATAATGTTGGGTTACTCCACTTATTGTCTTAAGATTTTGAGTTAAAAACTCAAATTCTTTAATATGGTACCGGAGCCAACTTTTGACGAGCCCCATTATCACACTTAACACATGTAAGCCTGCATTAAGCGTCACATGTGAACCCTAAAATTGGGTTGCACGTGAGAGAAGATGTTGAGTTATATTGTGGCTTACATCAAGTACAAAAGGACATCCAAAGGTATTTACAAAGATTTGGGTTATTTCACCGATGCTTAAAGGTTTTTGAGTTGAATGCTAAGATTCTTCCAAAAAAACAGATGACAAATTAAAAATGATAAAACAAGCTGAAATGTTTGGCCTAGAATCTACAGTAACAACCAGAACCTACTCTTATAATACCAAAACGACTTCTCTTACTTCTGATAAGCTTCCCAAACAGACAGAAGCCCATTTGATCTTCCAAAGGAACGTGAAACAAAATGTATATGAAGATAGATGCCATGCTTTTTCCAAGATAACAGTGTTATATAATATGTAGATGCATTTAAAATCAATGGTTTGAAATATGAACTTAGTTCCAAAGTGCTTCCGATGAAATAGATGATGAAACTTCAGGAACTAAATGGCTTCCGCATTAAATACCTTACAAGTAAACACATTACTAACTCATAAAGTATTTTTGATGAAAGAATGTTAAACTTTACATTCTTCAAAAGCAATGTCTCAAATTTTATGCCAAGGTGGCTTTAGTAAAGGTTCATCTTAGTGATTTCACTTCCAAAAAAGTATGTGCAATATCTTCTTAAAAGTGATGTCCGCATCAAGAAGTCACATAAGAGTTGCTTGAATTTTTCTTGCAACAGCTCTTCAAGCACAATGATGAACTTTAAGACCATTTAGAAGGATCCAAGTTTAGAATATGAAACAGTTCAAGGAATGGATAGCATAATAACCTTGAAATCGCCTCCTTAGAACCAACATCCTCCACCTTTTCATAGGATGCTGCAAGAGATTTAGCATCAAGAACTTCTATACCATTCTCAAACACAGCGCTAACATGCAAGGGACTATCAACATGTTTCACTGTTGGCTGAATGCTTTTACACCCAGTCCTCCCTGGCTGCCGAGAACCCCGCCCGCTTGCCATAGCATGTAGATTTCTCCATTTATCCTGTCCAATCAAGACGTCCATCAGATCAACTTTACTTTGAGCATAACTATGGGAAAACCACAAATATTCCAGCCGGAGAAAGTATAAGCTTCGCCAATAGGTAATAAGCAACATAAGTTAACTGTGTTGTCTAATACCTTAATGTCCACATTTGAACGAGAACGCAACACCAGCAAACTCTGGATCTTTGAGTATGGTGCTCCACTTGCCACCCCATACTTAGCAACACCCAACTTAAGGGCAGCTTCTTCTTCTGTTGTCCACTTCTGCTTTGGTGCACCCATAAGGTTGATGTCTTTTTGACACTGACTCAGAATTGAGCTTCCCTACCTATAGAGCCATCTCACTTTTCAATAAACAAATATCTGAATGTGGCAAAAGAAAAGTAAATACCCAAGAATAAATGATCAATAAGAACATAAGTAGGGCAAACTATAATCTGAAATTATATGACAGAAGATATTCATTTGTTAACTATGTTTCTGTACACGAGCGCATAAGAATATCCAGTAGCTACACGCTGTTCCCAAAAAAAAAATGTAACACCAGTCTAAAATTTCAGTATACAAGAATACAAAAGAAAGCAAAAAACTTTGGAGGTGCTCATTTCAAGCTTAAAAGGAGCAAAGAGCCCAGGTAATATTTGCATATGGTTGAAAAAATGAATTGAGTCATACCAGAAAGAAAATGTGGCGCAGAATTTTTGACGTGACAGAAATAACTGCTGATAAAAGATTGAATTTGAAACCCTAGACACGAGAACGAATTTGAGACCGCGCCAAATTGCAACCACTAACCAGCCTTCTCTTTTCTATCTATCGAATTACTTGCCGCGAAATATTTCCCCACCAACCAGACGATGGAAAAAGGAAAATGTCATTTTCTTCTCGAAACCTTTTCGGCCACAAAAATACATTTGGGGATGAATTTTTCTATTTTTTACAGCTATTATGATACTCCAGTTAGCGACGAAATATTAAACTATTTATATATAGTTTTCATGTCACGTAAAATGGCCTTGAAGGATCTACAAAATTTGATTGGGAAAATGCATAAGTATCCCCTACCTATACCGGATTTCCAATTACATATTTTTTCTTTGCGAAAATTCTATTACCCCCTTAAACTTAATTTTAAATGGAATTATTTGCACCCTTAACACTGAAGTTGCAGAGTGTGAGTATTTCACTCTCCCAAAGGAGATTGAGAAGCAAGAAAAAATAATTTTCAGATTATTTTTTATTTTTTTTTACCATTTTTTCTTACTTTTTTTTCCTTTTCCTTTTCCTTTTCCTTTGTCTTTGTCTTTTTTCTTTTTACTTTTTTTTTCGTTTCTTCTCTAATTCCGGCGGATATTCATTCACTGGCGACTTTGTCTAACCGTTTTTCTTCCATTTTTTCTTTTCACGCACAAATTAAACTCTCAAAAAGATCTATTCATAAGCAAAGCAAAATACACTCAGAAAATTCATCATCAGAAAACCTTCCCACGCCGGAAAAAAATGATGTATTGAAATTTTAACTGGAAAAAGTTTTCTCAGCTTATATTCGTTTTTATTTCTTTTGCTCTTCCTCCCACTCATAAATTACACTTTCAAGAAAAATTTATATATATATATATATAAAACAAAACACACTTAGATCGGGATAAAAATCTGTCGCCGGAAAAAATGGTGTTTGTGAAATTCCGACGACCACCATTTTATGCCGTCGGTGACCAAAACAAAAAGAAAGAGAATGAAATAACCCAAAAAATGAGAAAAATAAGAAATAAAAAAAAAGGATAAGAAAAAGAAGAAAGAATAAAAAAGTACTAAAAATACATGTGTGGGCGCGTGTAGCTCACCACTTGCCAAGAGTTTTGTTGTCTAGTTTTAGGGTGCAAATAATTCCATTTAAAATAAGTTTAGGGAGGTAATAGGATTTCCGCAAAGAAAAAGTATGTAGTTGGAAATCCGGGTATAGATTAGAGGGTACTTATGCATTTTCCCAATTTGATATGATAAAATAATTTAAATATTTATCTGATAAAATAATTTACCAATAGTAGTTAGTACTAGTTAATAAGTAGTACATTAAAAAATTATTTGGTTCGAAGATAAGTTATTTTGGGATTAATTATGGAGAATTAGTTATACTGAGATTAGTTTTGTTGGTATTAGTTATTCTGGTATTATTTCTTATTGACTGTTTAATATGTTGTATTAATCCTAGGATTATCATTTCTTGTTGACTGTTTAATATGTTGTGTTAATCCTAGGATTATCAGTTTTACTGTTTTATCCTGGGATAACTTATCCTAAGACTACTATTCCAGCCTCTGGCGGATATAAATTATTCCAATATTATTTTTAATCCTGGAATAACTTATTCCAAAATTAGTAACCAAACAAGCAATAAGGCAGTACTACATTTTTATTCCAAAGTCATTTTTACTTATTCATCGTACCAAACAACCCCTTAATAGTTCAATTGGTTGGCTACGTATACTTTCACCTTGTTGACCTTAGTAATCTCCTCTCCAATTTCTCATTTCTCCTGCCCCTGTCTAATTAAAAAGAATTGAAAAGAATGTAGTACAGTAACAATAGTGCCGTGAGCCCGTGACAACTTTTAGCACGGAAGGAAAGCATATCAAATGTGGCTTACATCATATACATTGATAACGTAAAACAGTTCAGAATTTACACTTTCACAATAGCTTAATCAATTATAGCAGATTGCTTACCTTCTTTATCAGTTACTTATGTTACAAACAGTTATTTGTAGTATAATAATTAGTAAGTTGAAAAAAAAATTTAGTAAGTTGATGGTTAACAATTCTTTACATTGACCGCATACGAAGATATAAGAGTTCCAAAAGGTGTCGAACAAAATATTCTGGGCAAAATACTTTAAAAACCCCGTAAACTTGGCACACATTATTGGTTATATTTTTAAATTATTTGTGGTCTTAATTACCCTCCTCCCCCTCCCCATACTTGAATATTCGATAGTTGTTATCCCCTTGAACGGTCTCATCCTAAGAAAGTGGCGTAAATTTTCCTGTATGTGTGGTATTTTTTGAAAAACAAAATATAGTTTATACCTTTTTAAGTGCATTACTTTTTTAGATAATCTTTTTTCGAATAATATTTATATTAAAACTTGGCTAGAATTACATTATTTTGGATAGATTTTTTTATTTAGCTAAAAATAATAAAGTTTTAGTTTTTTTTTTAATTTGACCTGAAAATAAAGATATACAGTTGAAATAAATAGTCAAGGCATCTAAAAAGATATAAAAAAATATATAGTATGATTATTATTATTTTGGCTATAATTTTTTATATAGCTCTAAATTATGGAGCTCTAAAAATATAATTTTTTACAGATATTATCGGAAAAAGTAAAAATACACAGTTGAAAGAAATAGTCATTGCATTATTTTGGCTATGCCTTTTTATTTGGTAAAAAATAATGGAGTTGTAGCCTTTTTTTAACTGATTTGACTCGAAAATAAAAATACACAATTAAAACAAATAGACATTATATCTAAAGAAAAAAATAACAGAAAATACGCAGCTAGTACTCAATTATTTTTGCTAAAAGTTTCCTATTTGACTAAAATGATGGAGTTCCAACCAAACTTTTATAAATTTGGCCCCAAAAAAATATATGCAGTTGAAAAAAATAGACATTACATTTATAGAAGAAATTAAAAAGAATAAAAGTTAGAGTAAACTCCACATTATATGTTAAGACGAGGTAACAAGAAATACATAGTTGTAACAAATAAATCACTATACATGACTATATGACAATTAAAAGTTAAAAAATAACCTACTTGGAAGTTGATTTTTCAATTTTTCTTCACTCCCACGCGCTTAAAAGAGAGTGCACCCACACTCTTTGCCATATCAGTGTCTAGGGAGGTAATGACTCTCAAAAGGCCAAGTTCGGGAGTTAATTAAGAGCATGAATAGGTTAGGGGTGTAACTAATTATCTGTGTCAAGTTTGGGAGGAGGGGGGATTTAGGCATCCCTCCAATATTCTGGGGAACAAAGGTCAATAGAAAAGTTTCTGCTCCCCAGGAAAGTCAACACCAGAGATGTATTGGGAAAAATTAAGTTTATATATGGAATTTATTATAAGATGACACGTCATGATACGTGGACCAGTCAAAGGAGGATATGTGACGAAGAATAATCAAAGAGGCACGAGCTTCAACAGGCACGGGTAGATATTCAGGAAAAAGCAAGAGAGATAGACGCTCATACAGGGCTGAAGTAGCAAAGACAATCACGCAAAACTTCAGCATTCTAGTAGACGCGCCTGAAGTAGCAAAGGCAATACGCTGAAGTTTTTTTTGTCCTGGATAAGATGCTGAAGTTATTTAGTTCATTTGTAAAAACTTCAGTACTAAAATAGCTGAAGTTTTTTTGTCCTGAATTCATTAATTTTGTCATAAAACTTTTTCAAAAACTTCAGCAGAAGATGCTGAAATTATTTATTTCATTTGTAAAAACTTCAGCACTAAATAAGCTGAAGTTTTTTTTATCCTGGATAAGCTTTTTCAAAAACTTCAGCAAAAAATGTCGAAGTTATTTAGTTCATTTGTAAAAACTTCACCACTATATAAGCTGAATTTTTTTTTCCTGGATTTATTAGTTTTGTCATAAAGCTTTTTCAAAAACTTCAGCAGAAGATGCTGAAGTTATTTAGTTCATTTGTAAAAACTTAAGCACTATATAAGCTGAAGCTTTTGAAAAAGCTTTCTAACATACTAGATAAATAATCACCTTATTCTTTCATAGTGTATTACCACTATAAAATAATCAGATTGTCAACAGTATCTAAATCATAAATTTTGGAAACAATAAACGTGAAAAGAACAAAATTACGTGAAAATATTCACAAACTATTGTAACCTAACTTACGTAATTATTTATAATTTATTTTTAAATAATCTGATAAATATACTTATGACAATCATCCGATGAATTGAAGTTTCATAGCAGCACTAACCGAAGAAGAAGAAGAAGAAAGAAGAAGAAGAAGAAGAAGAAGAAGAAGAAGAAGAAGAAGAAAGGAGGATGAGAAAGAGAGCTGAAGTTGTTTAAAAAGTGGGTACAAATTAAAACTTTTAAAAAAAAATAGGTATCGGTTAAATAGGGGCGACCAAATAGGGCGCCCCGTGCAATTTTTACAAAAATAGTATGCAAGGATTAATTACGTAAAAATTAGTTATATAGGAATCATTAATAGTATAGCAATTTATAATGTGAGGATTATAATAAGATATTAGCAAGGCAAGAATTCCAATATAAGGATTACAAATGCAATGATTATTTCTTATATAATTTTTATTTTATATATCACATAAGTCTTAATATACAATATAAAATATTTGTTCTCTTAAAAGTAAATTAGTTATTTTTTAAACTATTGAAAGGGTTATTTTTGGTTATTTTTGTCATTTTAATTCATGAATTACAAATAATTGCATTCTTATTTCACAATCTGCTCCGCATAAAATAAACATAAAGTCCAACATAACTTATGCAAATATTATTTATGAGGAAAATAAAACGAAGTTGTATTGACCATTGTTAGTTTCTATGTGGAGATGAAAACTCCTTAAATTGTAATTAAACATTGTATAACTTTATGTGGAGATTGTATTTCCTACTTAAAATCCAAACCAAACGGCTTCTCAATGTATGGGGTGAAAGATATAAGGAAGGAAAACGGAAAATACCAAGGGCTTATGAAGTTTATTCGTGTCAGTTGCTTGTTCCTATGAATAAATACTTATAATATATGTAAAGTATTCTTTTCTCTGAGAGAAAAAATTACGGTATTTATTCTTTTCATAAGCCAAGAAGGATATTCACGAGGAAGGTTTAACTAAGCTTGAATTGCTGATAATTAGCAGTGCAGAGACAAT